TATATATATATATATATATATACCACAAAATTCTTATTTATTTACATATCTAACACCTAAACTTTTATATTTATATTTATAATAATTTTGCGTCATAATCCTGTGCATGAAAAAAGGTATTTAACTTTTGAAAAGTACATAAAAGTGATATTTTTATGTAATTTTAGAGATTTGAAAGTTTTGCATGTAAATATGAAAATTTGTGTTAGATATGTAGATACAAAAAAATTAAATGGTATGTATTTAAATGCAACTTATTTATTTGAGAAAAAAAATTACCAATCCACCAGAACATGATGTGATAGCGTGTTCATCCCAAGGCATAGGAATCCCATCAAAACGATTATATGCTCCGCCATGTCCTTGACTAGTACCAACTCGATGGTTGATAACTATGTCAGCCATAGCTCTAATTTTGTGCTGGGCCAGTTTCTGAAGTAAAGTTCTTAATTGGTGCTCAGACCCATAAGCAGAGTCAAGGGAATAAAGGTTTTGCGGTAGATAGCCTGAAAACAAGAAAAAGCTGCCTAATTCTGTCCGGACAAAAAGGAAAATCATTAAATGTTGTTGTTCTTACCTTCTGGAGAAAAAGAGTGAGTAGCAGGAGGGAGCCAAACTGATGTAAATCCAGAGTCAGCGAGTTCAGGAACCTTTTTCTCTAAGTTACTCCACCAATCATTTTTATGAGATTCCCAATTGAATCCCTAGAAAGAATCTAATTTGTAAACCGATAACTTGAAGCAAGTCCAAACATTAGTTAATAAACAGAGGGTCCAAATATTCATCATATAAAACTTCAAAAACTTATAGGCTTCTAGCCTTTAACCTCTAATCAACTGCATCAACCTGAACTCATTTTCTTAAGCATATAAAACAAGCCAAATCAAAAGAAAAAAATTTCACTTGCAGCGCAGGGAGCTGATTTATAGCTTATAAATAATGTACTCATAAAGAAGTGAAAGGCATTAAACATAGTGGCGACAAATTTATTTCATTCATCAAAATGTGAAACCTACGTAGTATGCAATAGCTTGGTCCAGCACTCCGAGTTAAATAGCTATTAAAATGATAGTGTGAACCCCTGATTCCCAACCACAAGCAGTGGTATCGCATTTCTCGTATTGATTTTTCCATTTTAGAGATTATAGAATATTGAGAAGGATAGATTATACCTGGGCCCCTAAGCTTAATTAGTCACATAAGTCCATATTTTAAAAAACCCTACAGTGGCATCCCAAGCATTTTTTGTTATATGTGGAGTCTGATTATGGAGTTCAGAGGAAACACAGCACTTGGAATAGCTTCTGGCACCTGGTATCAGTCCTGGATTGGCGCCCCTGCACCTGGAGTTGTGCCCCGATGCAAGTAAGGGTGCCAAGTCACCCAACACCATGCTTCCGAGAAAAAGTCGTTGGAATTGCAGCACCTAGGAGGGACGCAACCGTGCCCAAATCGTTCTTCAAACCAGATCACCCTGTAATCAAATTTCTGCAATTCGGCATTTAAATTTCATCTTCACTGAGGGAATGGCAAGCGTATATACTGAAGGATTTGGATTTTGCGATTTTATCTTTTGTTAGAGAGAAGATGTGTGTGTTCTTGAGTTCCAAAATTATAGAAAGGCCTGAGTGTGGTGTAATCTGTACATTTCTTCATAGTCAATTTCTTGGTGTGCCGTGGCTCCATGATTTTTTTCCGTTTTCGAATTTTCCACATTAAATCTTAGTGTTCTTTTGTTTTTCTGTGATTCCTTGTTCGTGTGCTTCTGTTCAAAGTTTTGTTTTTGATCTCTTGAACTATATTTTCATATTTCCATGCATATCTCTCACCACATCAAGTGGTATTAAAGCGCAGTTTTCTGAATATCTTTAATTTGGGTGGGAGCAATGACCGACCGACGAAGCTAAGTACAAGATGGAGAAGTTCAACAATTCATACTTTGCTTTCTGGAAAATGCAAATTAAAATTTTATTGTATAAAAAAAACTGCATTTGCCACTGTAAGGAATCGCCAAGAAGCCGGAACCAATGACTCTAAAAGAATGGAAAGTTCTTGATCGAACAACACTAAGTTTGATCTGTCTTTCATTTTATATATTTGTTACTTTCAACATTGTGAATGAGAAAACTACAGTTTATCTCATGGTTGCACTGACAGGAATGTATGAGAAACCTTCGACTTCAAACAAAGTCTTTTTTTATGAAGAGATTATTCAATATAAAGATGGTGGATAGTAATAATGGCTGAGCACATGAATAATTTCAATAATGTGACAAATCAGTTGTGCTATAATGCATCGAGTTCGATGACAAGATCAGAGCTTCATTGTCAGACAGTTAGGATGGCCAGTCACTATGGTAGTAACACTTCAAGTAACATGAAGTTAAAACTATAATAACAATATGGGGTTAGTGTTGAATGATAAAGTTCACAAAAAAAGGAATGGTGAAACTTTAAATTCTGCACAAAATATTTAAAAATAAAGGAATGAAACTAGATAGAAATAAGGCAGGAAAAGATTCAAGTCCAAGTGAGAAAAGTCTTGGTCAAGGAGACAAAAAGGCAAAAGTGAATGTTGAAACTGTGACAAGATATGTTACTTTAAGAAAAAATGCAAAGCTCCTAAAAATGTCGGTGGGGAGTTTTAGACATAAAGTAATTTACAAATGTCTCCACAGATTAAATCCAAAATAACTTCCTTATTTTATCACTAGATATTACTAAATCATGGATAGTAGATTAGATGCCTCTTTTTATGCTTTCCTTAACAAAGAGGTGTTTAAAAATCAAACTCTCATTGGGAGACAAAAAGGTCTGCAATATTGTTGAAAAGCATGATGTTGATATAAGGTCGTCAAATGGATTAATTTGGAGGTTCAATGAAGTTAGACATATACCATGTTTGAAGAGAAATTTGATTTCCATAAGTTAGCTTGTAAGGTCAGGGTATGTGACTACTTTCAAAGGTGATTTGTGGAATGTTATTAAAGAGACAATAGTAATGGGTCGAGGCAACATTGAAAGCATCATTTATCTTTTCAATGAAATGTTTAAATTCATTGGTGTTGTTGGAACAAAAGGTGATGCACGTTTATGGCACTGCAATTTTGGCCATATAAATGAGAAATGTATGAAGTCCCTACTTTCTAAAAACAACCTTCCTGATTTAAACTCAATAGATCAAGATTTTTGTGAAGATAATATTTATGGAAAGAAAAAGAAAATTACTCTCTAAAAGTGAGTCAAAGATGAAATCCAAGGAGCCAGAGTTAGTGCTCCAATTCAATATATTGGAGGTTCTCAATAATTTATCATTTGCATTAATGATCACTCCAGGAAGGTATGGGTGTACTTCTTGAAACATAAATTTGATGTATTTGAGAAGCTTAATTAGAAAACCATGGATGATAATGAGAAAGGCTAGACGTAATGTCAAAAGATCAGATAATAGTGGCGGGTGAGGTTAAATTATTATTGTTTCAAGAGGGATCAGACATGAGTTTGTTGTTCCAACAAAACTATAACAAAATGATGTTGCAAAGCCCGTGAATAGAAAACTAAAGTTGATCTCACATCTAAAGACCATGGAAATAAGTTTGATGATTATATGATACAATTTTTACATAAAACTTTTCACTTCAAGTTTTCATGCATCCTGACTTATTATTTTCTCCACAGAACTATGAGATAATCAAAATTACATTCAGTTGATTGCATAATATTTATAATCACATATAAGGAGCATGCAAACCAGTTTGGTGATGATTGAACACTATTTTTACTTAAATTTTGTATTTTGGATTTTCATGCATGAAAAATGATCTCATGTAAATTTTTTTTTTATCGAAATATTATTTTTCAAACTGGATTGTGTGAATACGTTTGAATCGTCGAAACCTGTCAAATGAACTTCTCCATGCTCAAATTGGACTTCATTTTGTGGCTCATTTAGCCTACGATAGTTTGGACAATAATTTCGATAATCTAAGAATGACCCTTATAATTCACTCAAAAAGAACTCAATCAAAATCAAATTTCAACCAAATCAAATGTGAGCTAAAAACACTTAATTTAATCAGATAAATCTCATTAAAAACTTTTATTCAAAATTCATCAAAATTCTCTTCTAAGATGGGGCTCATACTGTGACTTGAAATATCTTGAGATAGAGGCCACTTCAACTAAAATTAATTGCAACAATGTGTTCTTATTTTTTTAACCAAATGAGTCAAAATTTTGACTATAACCACCTCAATCACCCATAACAACCTTGTCATTCCAAATTAAAATATCTTGAGATTGAGATCACTTCATCTGAAACCAATCGCACAATTAAATTCCTTACCTTTTCCTATTCCAGATAAGCTAGGGTTTCAATTTTAGCCATAACCACCTTCTCGAATTCAAATTTCCCCCCAAAAAATTGAATATTTCCTCTTTCACTCATAACTCCTCGCTCTGTTTTCCTCCCCACTTAAACCTCATTTGGCCGAAACTCTCCCTCCTCACCCCTTCTTCCTCGTTAGTGAAAACCCCCTCTCCCCTCATTATCCTTCTTCTTCCTTCGTAGCCACATACTCTCTTCTCCTCTCTACATCAAGGAAGGCAAAGAGCTTATCATCATCCAAGCAAGGAAATCAAGGAGTTCCACCCAAAGCAGAAGTATAAATCCTCCCCTATTTCATTCCAATAAGTGTTATATGAATTAATTTTGGAAAATCATGATGTGAACTCTCCTTTTTCCCCCTCCTTTTCTCCATGGCCAATCATCTCCTCTCTTATCCCTATCTCTTTTCTCCGTGATCGACCCTCTGCCCCTTTCCCTCTCTTTTCTCTTTGGTCAAACCTCTCTTCCTTCCTCCTTCTATAGCCTAATCACTCTCCCATTCACTTCCACTCCCTTTTCCACACACACTTCCTCGCCTTCTCACATATCTAAAACCCTAACCCTTGCTTCTCTTCCTCTCTCCTACCAAAACCCATCACAAAAACATAGGGCTCATTCTCACACACCACATCTTCTCTCTCCTACCCAAAACCATAAACCATAACTCACACACTTCCTCACCATCTCACATACCCGAAACCCTAACCCTCGCCTTCTCTTTCTCTCCCTCCTACCCAAAACCCTAACCCTAACCCTCGCCATCTCTTTCTCTCACTCCTACCAAAAACCACATACCCTAACTCACACAATTCCTCGCCTTCTCACATAACTGAAACCCTACCCCTCACCTTCTCTCTCTCTTACCCGAACCCTACCCCTCACTCACACAGCTCTCTCTCTCCTACTTGAAATCATTACCTAACCCTAACCTACCACATTTCTATCTTCTTCTCTCCACTGAAACCCTAGTCAATACACTCTCATCCTCTCTTCTCTCTCCTACCCGAAAAATTCACTCACTAAAACACACACGCCCATTTTCTACGGCCTAAATCCAAACCCAAACTCTTATTTTATGTCTCTGTCTCATACAATATAAAAATCATGTGGTTACCTTATGTATTATGCAATATAAAAATTATGTGGCTTTGTGTCTTATACAATAATTCATGTTGTTACCATATATATCATGCAATATTTTCATGTGCTTAGGTGTATGTCTCATGTAATATGAAAATGATGTGGTAGTCTTATGTTTTCATACAAAACCATAATGCGATAGTCTTGTGTCTTTCATGCAAAACCCTTATATGATAG